TACTTGATTCTATTTCTCCACATAGCCCTCCACCTTGGAGACGCATCCATTACATCACTCTATCATTCTTATGTTCTGCTTGCCTCTAGTTTGCCTCCAACAGTTGGTCAATCTTGACTCACCTGCCCTCATAACCATTTTGTATCACCCATACCAGTCAATAATCTTTTACTTTAATACCTAGCACCGTGATGCCAGCATCCCTAACTTCTACCCCCATGTCACCAACCCACCTATACACACCAGGATGCAAGATTCTCAGTTTCAGTACAGATACCAGCCCATTTGCTCCTTCTGCAGCAGTCACTTTTTTTTTTTTTTTTTAAATTTTATTTGTATAGCGCATATTTACAACAACAAGTCATCTCATAGCGCTTCACAAAGGCCGAGACAGAAACACCCAACAATCCAAAACATTTGGATTCCCTATAAGCTTCAGCAGTACGCAAGCAGTCTGCAACAGTGGGAAGGAACCGAAAACCCCCGCAGGGGAAAAAAAACCTCCAACAGAACCAGGCTCAGGGAGGGACGGCCATCTGCCTCGACCGGTTGGTGGATGTAGGATGAATTATAAAATTTAGTTTACAGTTAAACAAGTTATTAGAAGTTATTGTCCTTTTGTAACAGGAGGCATCATGGTGGGGGCAGCAGGATGCAGAAAGGTGAGGCCAGCGGCTGTAATTCAGGAGCTCCAGATCCAGAGACATCCACAGAGAGAGCAGGCGCAGGAGAACCTTGGGGGGAGTCACAGAGTTAGTCATATGTAATGGTGATAGGCAACTATAGAAACATATACATACTTGCACTCAACAAACCCACAAACCCTCACTAACTCATGTCTGCTACAACTCCCTAGTTTGCAATAGCTTGCACTGGTATTCCTTACAAAAGGAGTGTATAAACTAGCCTGAAATTTAAGTCAGCAAATGATTGTAGTTTCACACTTTACCCACAGGGTGGCTCTATTCTATAAGTGGAGGACACATTGAGCAACAGGTGGTTTTTGGGAAGCACTGAGCCTCCAAGTTCCAGTAGATAAAGTAAGAGATGGAGCTGAAGAAACGTAAAGTCTTCTTTTTTTTTTCTTTTTTTAAATGTATGAATACAAGTTATTGTTTTATTCAGTTGGTGTGCATTGCTGATGGTTGTCATGTTGGTTAGAATGAATCAAACAAACATCTGCTGCTCTGTCTGCTTTCAATGCTGATTTGGTTGTGTTTTGTTAAACAGTTACATGCAGAGCCTAAATTCAAATCCTTAACATAAAACCTGGGAGCTGAACAGCCTCACTGCAAGTATTTGCATGGTGCAAGATGTTTTTTCTCAATGTTAAGAACTATTTAGAAAGAAAGAAATGCAACTTGGACACATATTGGAGCCTAGAACTAATATTTAATGGTAATTATTATGGGAGGAGCTCTTCAATTTGTAAGGAAAATATATGATCCTGATTTTTTTTGTAACTGTTTTAACTTCCTTTAATTTAATATTAATAAAGGTACAATTTTCAGTTAAACCTCCAGGTAATTATTCTGATATTATAGATTGCTGTTATTTATGTCATTTTATTTACTAATGAACAGGGACTTTAGGAATCCATTTATATACATGTGTATGGCTTAAAGTAAGCTTATTGTATCTATTGTTTTCCGGACCATTATTATTAAACGATATAGTTCTTAACAAATAATGAAATAATAAAATACAGGTTTTTAATGTACGTCAAATTTTACCTTTTCGGATTTTGAAATTACTCAACTGTACCAGTTACAATTGAACACGATGTCTGTTTTCCCCAACATCCAGAACTCTTTCCAGGAAACTTCTGGGAAATTACTTGGAAATGATTTAGAAATGAAAAACCCACAAAATAAAACATAACTTTATTCTTGCTGCCGACTCAACAGCAATAAATCAACTTTTCCTTGTATTTTTCTTGCTAAATTTTAAGTGTATTTTTCCACTTTGGAAATAAATACATAAATGTGGACAATAAAAACAGAAAATCCCAAATGAGAGGAAGAGACGTTTGGTAATCCACTCGTGACTGTTTTTCATTCACCGCGGCCAACAATGGCACTTCTGCGGTCAGACACATTTGAATAGAATTTGTGTTTTGAGCTGCCTTTTGAAAAAGCTTGTTGACATTTTGCTTAAATGCCTCCCGTCAGGGTGAATTTGCCCTCAACTACTTCCTTTTTTAACAGTTTATTCTCTGGTGTCAGAGAGATAAGCTGCATAATTGGCAGCGGGACCTGTGGTGGCTGCAGCCAAAACTGTGGGGCAGTTGCTTGGTTTCGCTTGGCTTTTAACAGCAGAGTAGACTGGGACTGAGCACAGGGTAATCCAGTCGTTTTTGTCTTTAGGATTTACAAAATAAAGGCAAAAATCAATATTCCTACATGTGTCTATGTTTAAAAAAGAGAGTGTAGTTACGGTAGCTTTTGTATTTGATCCAAATGAAATGAAAATGTGTCATTTTTTCATCCCAACCCCTGTTTAAAACTATTTCTCACACATTCTCTGCTGTGAAATGTGTGTCATGAACATTCACTACACATCCTTCCCTTGTTTGGTAACATTTCACATGGCAATGCAGTCAGTCAGCAGAAAGAAAAGACGTCCTACTGAGCCCTTTAATGCCAAACCATTTATGACGCTGGCAAAAGTCCGAGCATCAAATTGGATTTAAATCAGAAGCGCTGATGAATCACTGTTGTGCATGTGTGAAACCACAATAGAGGGAGACAAGAGAGGAGCAGGGGGGAGGAATCAAATAGTCTCCCAACGACTTAATTATGGAGCCACAAAACATACAGAGATTTGAAGATTTTTTTAAGAAGTGCTATCAGGGGTCATGCTGCTTTGCATTGGTGAATAAAAGCAGTTTTGATTCCCACTGGGACCAACAATGTATGCACTCTGCTTTTTATAGTTTCTCTGGTTACAGAGATGCACCACTGTATGATCGTCTTATCTTCCATTTCTCTTACAGATACTTGATTGTATTATTACACTTTAATGAGTTTATATTGCACAAACTGCGCACGTAAGAATAGATTTCAGGCGGCAGGACTTAATAAAACATTACATATATATAGTATACAATCATTAACAGAAAAATCTATTTACAGTGTACTTTCTTTTGCTGTACAGATTATCATACTGTGCCTTCAGTCACATTAGGAAGTTGTGCAAAATATGTGCAAAAATAAAAGTCCAGTGCCTGAATAGTAACTATTCGTGGCTGCTGAAGTTGCCCATTTCAACTTTTTTTCCCCCCCGCATGTAACATAAGATACAGTATTTCAATAGTATGTTGTAAATGGCTTTTTAACATAAATCTGCTACTTGTAGGACCACGTAACTTCAGAAGTCCAGTTGTGTTTTTTGCTTGTGATTGTTTCGTATCGTAACAATAATTTAAGGTATAACTGTCTTTTTATGCTCTGCTATTCTTCCTATCAGTGTAATTGTTATTACTGCCTTATCTTCCCTTATCTAATAATGACTATGCACTGTGTTGATGCCAATATTTATCGCCACGTGACACCTTGTGATTGCATCACCTCTACGTCGAAAACGATGGTATTTGTTACGCAATTTTAAAAACTAACTTGCTATATATAAAATACAGGCCCCACAGTAGGAACTCAACGCAACAAAAGTCGCGTGTCGCTTGTGTTATTTTTGGCAGAGTGCTTTAGATCCTTATCATGCTGGAATATTCCTCTTCTGCCAAGCTTCTGCAGTCATCTTGTTGGCCAGTGTTTTGGTAAATCCTCAGGCAGTTGCCGTCGATAAATGTCATCTCCCCATTAGCTCCAGTGCTCATCTAGCCTCATGTCATCCCATTCCCACTGCTGTGCTTCACTGTCAGGACTATGCATTCACTGTTGGAGGCCTGAGTGCAAGCAAGGGTTTTTTATTTTTGGATGCAGTCCATAGAGATTCATATTGTCCTTCACGCTGTCTGAGCTGTCATAAAAGCATCCACTGATAACCTTGTACGTGTACAAGTCTACGTTGGTTTGTCAGCGGTTGATTGTGCAATTAAGTGACGCACTTTCTGTGGCATCCTTTAAGGATGACGGTCACTGCAGGTCTGACTAGTGGTACTATGACTCAGTGTGTTTTGACTGGATTGTTAGCTGTTCCCTGATCTTGTGTCCATCTTTGTGAGGTTTTCCCATCAGATTTTTTTTGTTATTCTGCCGATCGTTCTTCACATGGAGCCATAATGCAGACATGCTGATAAACACAGGCTGTGTGGGTTCAAAACTAACAAAGTTGTGGCATTTACTTGGCATTTTGTAACCATGTAAATGCAGTTGGGTTGATTGGAAATAGGCGGGTGTGACCACAGGCGTATTCACTTCAGTTTTTTCTACTTTGGGGCCAGTATTAGTTTTTGGTTGTTCACAAGAGGAAATACTGAAATATAGAGTCGATTGAATCTTTGCAGTAGCTGTTATATGTAAGAACTGTTTAGACTTTAGAAACATTTAGGTTGCTGTTTAAGACTGTTTTTGTTGGAGCTTGACATTAATCTATAATTGTGTTTTTTTTTTATTATTATTATTCAGATTTTATTCAGTTTTTTTCTTTGCATTTTATCATTTGAACTGTAAAGCGCTTTGGTTCAACTCGCAGCTTTTAAATGTGCTTTATTTGACTTGGAAAGTTGAAGTTAGAAATAATGATGATGCAATTTGACATCATTTGAGTCTAAGTGATTTTGCACATGTTGCAGCATCAGGTGCGAGCAGTAATAGTAGTTGCAATCCTATTTGTTTTTATTAGGGGGTGCCCATGCAGCTCCTAAAGGCCCGACTGATTGGTGGTTTAATAATAATACTAAAAAAAAAAAAAAAGCAAAACCACAAATGGCGCAATGTCTGGGAGGAGCTGGCAGAAGTTGGTGCAGCAGTCCTACTGTACTCCGCTGACTGGGACAGTAACGGACATTCCTTTAAAACATTCCTCTCGCGGGACTGTCCTGTCCGAAACATCGCGAAGTTTCCTTACTGTTTTGTATTTTGGTGGCAGCAGCAGGCGTCCAGGCAGCGAGCCGCGGAGGCAAGTCCAAGAAAGGTGGAGACTCCTTGGTTAACTTCCTGCACAATAATCTTGAAGCACCACCAAGAGGGAGCGAGAGAGAAAGCTGGGGAGGCTGCTGCCTTGCCGCTACCACCACCGCCGCCGCCGCTGCTGCTGCCTCCGCTGGGGCAAGGACGAATGGATACACGGCTCACTTGACTTCTTTTCCTCGGCAGTAAATCGACGAAAAAAACACAAAACAAAACAAAACAGGCACTTTGCGGTTGTTTAATACCCGTCTACCTGGGTAGTAGCTAGCTAGCAGTGAGGTTGCTGGACGAGAGATTCCCAACGTTTGGTCGCGAGCCGTTGCGAAGGACAGGAATGGGTGAGTTTTCCATGATGTGGCGCTCGTGTTTTCATGTGTGTGTGTGTTGTTGTTTTTTTTTTCTTCTTCAAATTTGTTTATTTATTTTTCCACTCGACCCACGAAGCAAGGCTGAACCCGGGCAAAGCTCTAAAGCCGAGTGTCAGTGTCTTAAATCGCGCCGTGAGCTTTTGCCAGCGGGGAGTTAAAGTTAGCAAGCCAGTATGCTAGCTGGTTAGCCTAGCCTGCTAGCTCTTCTGGTTAACTGGATAACGCCACCTCCATCCCTGGGATTTGGCAGCATTTCTAGCAAATGTTAACGTGAGCTACCACCGAGCTGATGCCAACGCGACCTCTGCAAAATCACTTACTGTCCTGAAGCTACTGTATTAGCTCGAAATTCCCAAGTTTTTTTTTATTTTGGTCCCCCCCCACCCCCTCCACCCCAATCTGGCTGTGCTCAAAGTTAGGACTGCTGCAGTTTGTGTGCACAGAAATAACTACACAGACGAGAAACTTGTGGCAGCAAAGGTTAACTTCCTTCTTTTGATATTTGCTTTAAGGCTGGTATAAGGAATAGGTATTTTTTTGCGTGCACATTGTGTCTAGTGACTTGCATTCTTTCCATGACAGTGGCAGACCTGCTGCAAGTTCCCACACCCAAATGCATGTTTCCACTTCAGCCTGCAAGGGACTAAATATGTTTAAGGTCAAGAGTTTTTACTTCTTGCTTGCTCATTCACTGTAAGCAGTGAATTGCAAAGTGACTGTACAATAACAACAAAGCATAATAATAAAATATCCCTCGAAAGTAGAGGGAAGAAGTAGTCCTAATGACTGATTTGACAAGACAATGTGAAACTAATATGGAGCTCATTTTGAAGGTGATGGTCAGATCTCTGAATGCATCATAGCTTCTGCCAGACTTAAAAACTTTACAGCTGCCATCAAAGATAGTTGTTGTTTCAATGGGGGCTTTACAGAGATGAGCAGATAGCAATTTGCTGTTACTTGACTATCATATGTGGTTAATTTTGAAGGCCATACTGCCTCGCTGTCAGCACGTAGAGGAAACACTCTGATCTTTGTATGTATATTGCAAAACTTCTGTACTGTATCATGAAACCTGCCTACAGCCTGTCAGTGGATGTGCAGACTGTGGTTTGTGTGGCTGTGCGCAGCAGGACTTGTTCAAGAACTTTGCTATGTGGTAAAACAGGTTTAAGTTCAGCCTTGCTAAGCGTTCAGCTGTTGCAGATTGTGCTGTTGGCATTTTAAGTCACAGAAATGCTGAAAAGAAAACTGCTTTGCAGGAACTAAACTACTGTAGTGATGTATGTGGCATGTAAAGCTGAAATTAAATTATAAAGGGAATTCCATAAACGGAGCACGAGATTGTCACACAACAAGCTGCAGAGTTGTTATAAATGTAAACCCAGCTAAAAACACTCAACAGGAAGAACCCACCAGCACAGTCTTCTTAACTAGTGTCCATTTATGGTGGATTAGGTTCACATGAGTTGATAATACATTGTACTTGTCTTTGGTATGCCTTTCATCAGGTAGCTCATTGCTGAGGATATCTCAGCTGTGTTTGAACATGTCCGAGCTGTGTGTGTGAGCCCCTCGCATTCAGTGTTTGCTTTCCCTTAACTCAGCTTAGGCTACATGCAGCCAGCCACTGGTTGATTGACTGAATTCCACAAACTGAATTTTGTTTGGAAGCATTACGTGGTTGGAAATAGTGGTCCTTGGTGTGGTCCACGCCTCTGTGCCAGCAGTCATTCTTTAATCTTGTGTTTTTAGGGCTTTTTTTTCCCTTTATTTTGATAGTGGATAATAGAAGGAAATGAAGGGAAAGGCAGAGCTGAGATGACAAGAAATAAAGGTTTCCAGATAGACATGAACCAAACTGGGCAAATTGTAATTACACGGACAATTGGGCCACCAAGATACTGAAGCAGCCTTTCTATTTCACTCCCTAACTTCTAACTGTAGGATTCTGTAGGAACCACTGAAACAAAGGCTGGACTTGTGCCACAATGTGTGACTGAATATTAAACTCAGCCTCACCTGGTCTCAGCCAATATTTACCAGCCTGCGGTTAGTGTTGATTTCCCACCCTGGTGTTAAAGTAACTGTTGAAGGTCAGTTTATCCAGCCAGTGTGTCTGGGGATTAACGTGTAATTATTTTCAATAATGTAACAAAAAAAAAAACAGTAGGTGTAGCTGAGCATTCGGTCCGACGGGGCAGAAGTGATCGTGCGTTTCCACCATCAGCGGTCACAGTATTGTATCCGCCATCAGTGTTGGTGGCGGCAGGGGAATATTTGGAGATCAAAATTGATATCCCAATACCAGCACAGCGAACGAATAGTCGGCTATTCAGGTCCAGCCCTATATCTGATACTGTTTTTTTTTTTTTCCCCCTCAACTGTGTAAAATGTGAGTGGATAATTATGATTTGAAAACCAAGAAGGATACTCTGCAGGTAAACCTGCCTGGTTTTAAGATAACGTTGAGCACTTTGGCCAGACTTTTCACTACATTCTAGCAATTTTACACCAGCTTCACTCCCACTTTTTTGTGAATAGCAAACACATTTAGTCTACAACAAACAATCACTGTTATGCACAAAAACCTGAGCGACTGTTTATCCAGTCCCGTATGTCTGCTGACCTTTTTCTTGAAGAAGGGACATTGATGCATTTATTGACTGATAAATATGCACTTGTAGCGCAGTAATGCCACAAGCTTTTTTTGTGTAGTGTGTACACTAGAGTGAACTGAAAAGTTAATTTTTGTTACTGTAAAATGTTCCCTTAAGTTGACAAATTTCAGTTGACCTATATATCTTATGCTGGCACTCCAGCGTCACTGATGAAGGCTTACTTGATAAAATTATGACTGGCGAGGTGGTATGTCCTATTTTGTGGAAGTGGAGGCCAAGTGCACATGAAGTATCACAAGAAGAGACTGAATATCCTGATTCTGGGACACCCTAACAGGTGGCTTTTAGTTAAGGTTGGACAATTAATCAATTTCAAGTCGGAACTATGAAATAAGAAAATTCCAGTGGTCACAATTTAGAAAGTACATTATGCATTGTGTCTGACCCAGGATTTGAACTGTTGAGCTTTTAATAGTTTTACAGATTCATGTTGTGTCACATGTTTGATCGTGTCTAATGGTAATGCTGCATCACATTCTACACGGTAAATATACAACTGAAGCGTGTATCTCAAGATCCAAACATTGTTTCGCAATTGCAAAATCGCAATTAGATATTTTCCCCAAATTGTTCACCTCTACATCCAATCCAAAGTTTAGAATTTTGGTGGAGCTACAGTTTTGTGTACACTTGAGTTACGCCATAAAGCAACTTGTCCTGTAGCTTGTTTACTTAGTCTTAGTTTTCTCCATCCGCTGGCTGATCAGTCAGTATCGGGCACTATTGCAGCAGTGCTATGCAGCCTCACTGATCTTCCATGATATTTTTGGTCGCTCACATTTGACAGCCGTTGTTTGCTCACTGCTGCAGCTCTTGTGTTTGCTCACCGAGCTATTGGTTATGCAATTTGTGAAGTTGGACAGGTTTACAAACGTGAATAATGGTGATGGACACTGTTGAATGCTTGTTTGATTGTCTAGTTGCCCAAGCTTAGCTTCCAGGTGTGTAATGTGTGGCAGGGCGTTGGTAGAAAAAAAGTACACATATGCTGAGCTATTATCTTCACACTGTGCTGTGGGTAAACAAAGGTGAACAGGAGACTTCGGGCTTTCATTTAGAACAGCAATAACCTCTTTCTCCCGCTCACTGGATTTCTCTTGGTAGCACTTTGCCCTTCATATCAACGACCTCTCAGATCAGTGGGAAGGAATGCAGTTATGAGTTTCCTCTTTACTGATTGTGTGTGATGACTGGGAGAAGCACGGAGAGCACATTTTAGACAGTCTGCCTGGCAGTCAGCTCGCTTGCGTGGCCTTGTGTACCCCCCCCTCCTTTCCCCCGTTTCCTTCCTCTCCCCCCTCTCTCTTTTTTCCCTGTAACATCCTCCTGTCTGTCATTGGCTTACATAAGATCCACATTGTACAAAGTCTTTACCTGGAAGCATTGTGTCGAGGAGAGGAAAACAATAATCTGGAAGTCCCTCTCCCGTCTGCTGAACCAAAGACCTGGCACAGAGGCAGGAAGCGTGATGGAAATATGCCGTGCCTTAGGAGTTTGATTGCCACATTTTAAAGCAAAGTGATGGGAGAAATTAATAACCTTAACAAAACAGGGCTTGGAAATATGTGCAGTCAGACTGAAACTGTCAGTTTGAATACTCTTATTTCACTAAGTGAGTTGAGTAAACGAGGGGAGTGGAAAGAAGGATAAATAGTTTCTGATAAGAAGAGCACAACTCAAAGCAAGACCGGACATGATGGAGGTATGCTGAAGAGGCAATGCGCACACATGCAGACATTCAGAGCTGCATGCAGGCTATAATGCACCTCTCTGTGTAGGACAGACCACAGCTATTTTATTTATTTGAATAAACTTAGTCCCAGTTTTGGGAGTGAAACATTTTAGAAGTCATTATTGTTTGTTTCACATCTGTAAGACAAACTATTGTTTGAAAAGGTGCAGGTATGTTGAAACTGACAATTTCTCAACTGAAAAGAAAACAAAACAAGTATTTTGAAATGTAATAGCCCAGGGGTTTACACAGTGTTTTATAGTCGAGGTGTCTTTGTCTTGCCTGAAGTAAATATTTCTTACCTTACATTTTACAATGTATTAAGCAAGAGTTGTCTGATTAAGGACAATAGGAATAATAAATTACATTTGCATGCTTGGGCTGCAAGGTGGCTCGATGGTTAGCACTGTTGCCTCGCAGCAAGAAGGTCGCCAGTTAGCATCCCAGTGAGGACACCCGGGATCTTTCTGCATGGAGTTTGCATGTTCTCCCAGTGCAGCGTGGGTTCTCTCCGGGTTCTCCGGCTTCCTCCCACAAGGTCCAAAAACATGTTGAGG